CACATATAGCCGGGCAAAGCTATTTTTTGACATATTCAAACACTTTCAAAATTTGTACACGATGAAGACCTGACAAGTCTATGCAAATTTCAAAATACTTACGGCAATTACATTAGAAGAGTTTGTGCATCACGGGATATTGCCAAATTTATACATAAATATTATTTATTTATGTAAAATGTTAATATATTAAAAATGGGGCTCAAACAGACACGAGCCCTTATTTGTTCCCCACTATTTTTAAAATATATTCTTCAATAAAAATAATATTATACGCAAACCCACATTAAAGTGGGACCCGCATTTTTTGGAATATTTTATTGACAATGGGACCCACATCCATGTGACATAGTGGAATTTTGTAAAAAATTTTCTGTACACGTGTATTTCCCCTATAAAAATATAAAGTGCATTCATCTATAATATAAAATTACTGTGCTAGAGTATTATAGGTCGGGGCCGCCGTCTGCACCCCTTACACTCTAGCGTAATTATTTGCTACTAACTTTTTCTTTAGAATTTTTATTGGGAAAATTTCCATTAAAGATATAATGATGGAGATTCGCACATATAGAAACAGTAGACAAATTGCTAACATTCTACCAAATGCTACAGTACTTTCAAACATTGTATTCTCATGGTCTATATATAAGGAAATTCTCCGGAGTCCAACTCCAAGAACCATATTTTTTTTCTCATACATAATTTCTGTCTTAAAACTTTTATTGAATGGAGTTGAACTTAATGCCCCAAATGGCTCAAGTATTCATGAAAGAGGAGGGTGGTGAATATTACATTTGGCCAAGTTCTGAATTTTCTGTCCTTAGTGAAGCCAAGCTTGGAGCCGGAAAACTTGTTCTGCATCCCCGTGGCTTCGCTCAACCTCATTATGCCGACTCCAACAAGATTGGTTTCGTTATTCAAGGTACCACTTATGCTACATAGCATTATTCTTACTCTGATCGCGGTTTTTATCTAAGATTGTGTATTAACATTTAAGTTCCTCCTTTTCTCTACAGGAAGCTGCACAGTTGGCCTGCTATCAGAAAAAGATCACTCAGAAGAAACTGTCTTGAAAATCAAGAAAGGAGATGCAATAGCAGTGCCAGTGGGAGTGATTTCATGGTGGTTTAACAGTGGAGATTCTGACCTAATTATTGTATTCTTGGGTGAAACTAGCCAAGCTTATACTCCTGGGAATTTCACCTATTTCTTCCTCACAGGAGCCATGGGTGTCTTGGGAGGTTTCTCGCCTGAATTTATAAGCAAAGTTTATGGCATTACAGAAGAAGAATCCATAACGCTACAAAAATCCCAAACTGCTAATCTCATCTTTAAGCTTGACGATGAAATAAAAGTGCCTGAGCCATCCATTAAGGTTTCCCAGAAATTTGTTGTCAGTCTTGATAAAGTCTTTTCATCATTCAAATTCAGTGCTGCTGAGAAATCTCCTTTTGAACTCAGTGCCAATCTTGTTAAACTAGATGTTGATTCGGTTTTGGGCCCATTATTCACAAATGATTCATCTTATCAAATGATTTATGTAATCAGAGGCAGCGGAAGAATTCAAATAGTTGGCCTTAATGGACAAATTGCTTTGGATAGCAAAATGGAAGCAGGTCAGTTATTTGTCGTGCCACGATGAAGAAATCGATGGAAAATAAGCCGAAAATTGAGATTTGCAATTGGATTTGCTTGGATTTTGCTCACAACTTCGCCTCTGGAGGTGTAGAGACTGTGCAGGTGTAGAGACGGCACTGGCAGGGTGTTATCTTATCAATCATTTCACTAAGTCTAATGTGACTTGACTCACCGCCTCATCAGAGGATCCATGTTGCCTCTGCCAACGGGGGTTGGATGAGCAGCGTTTGGATTGGGATCGCTTCGGCATACACATGGTCGAATCGCATGTTTGTTATGCCACCCGTGGGCTTATTCGCTTACCACGTAGAATTTATTTTACGATTATTTATATGAGTAACAAATGGGAATAAAATAATTAATTAAATTAATTTGTGACGTGTGTGCATGTTTAATTTTCTTTCATATATTACAATAAATTAATGTTTCCAAAAAACGAAAAAAAATAAATTATGTTTCCTGGATTGGGAGAGAATTCACTGGCTTTCATTCATAATTATATATTTTTATATATTAGTTTCGATAAGATTAGTTGATTGCAGTTCAAGAAATTTATCACAATCTGTGAATTTAATTATAACTTCTGTTTTAATTAAATAGTTGATTAAGGTTTATGTTTGGACTCTGT